TTACCAGGGTTTCTCATTAGCAAATCCAGCAAGCAGGTAGTTAGTGATTGCAGGCCTTCATATTTTACTGATGTCTCCAAAATCATTCACTCCATTCATACATCCTTCCATTCATTCCCACACATCATATTAAATTCACATTTATCAAATTTGCACATTCAATTTCTTATTACACTTTGACATCCAAAGACAGCTGGAATGTGTCCAGAGGAGGGCGACTAAAATGATCAAGGGTCTGGAGAACAAGCCCTATGAGGAGCGGCTTAAGGAGCTGGGCATGTTTAGCCTGAAGAAGAGAAGGCTGAAAGGAGATATGATGAGAGCCATGTATACATATGTGAGAGGAAGCCACAGGGAAGAGGAGAGAGCAAGCTTGTTTTCTGCTTCCCTGGAGACTAGGACACAATGGAACAATGGCTTCAAACTACAAAAGAGGAGATTCCATCTGAACATGGTTCACCGAACATGGTTCACCGAGGAGCTGGCAGCAATGAAGCGAAGGAAGAGGGAACTAGAGAGTGTGTGGCGTTCGGATCCGAGTGAGCCAAATCGAACACGGTTTGTGTCCTTTTTAAGGGCATATGCCGTGGCAATAAAAGCCGCAAAGAAGGCCTTCTTTGCGGCCACTATTGTGTCTGCAAAGAATCGTCTGGCTGAGCTGTTCCGAATTGTCAGAGGCCTTTTAAATCCCTCCGCTCAAGGTGGGAACCCTGACGATTCAACTTCTTGCAGTGAAGCTTTTGCTCAGTTCTTTGCAGACAAAGTCGCTTTGATCCGTTCTGGTCTGGATACCATGTTAATGGCAGTCTCTGAGGATGTAACACGAGCACCTGCTTGTCCAGTTTTGATGGATTCATTTCAATTGGTGAAACCCGAGGATGTGGACAAGATACTTGGAGGAATGAGGCCAACCACATGCATCCTGGACCCCTGCCCATCCTGGCTTCTAAAGGAGGCCAGAGGGGGATTGGCTGAGTGGGTTAAGGTGGTAGTTAATGCTTCCCTTCGGGAAGGCAAGATTCCAGCGAGCTTAAAACAAGCTATAATAAAACCGCTGTTGAAGAAACCATCACTGGACCCCACTAAATTCGACAACTATCGGCCAGTTTCCAATCTCCCCTTCTTGGGCAAAGTCTTGGAATGTGTGGTGGCCTCACAACTCCAGGTATTCTTGGTAGACACAGATTATCTAGACCCGGCACAGTCTGGCTTTAGGCCGGGACATGGTACCGAGACAGCCTTGGACGCCTTGGTGGATGATCTGCGCCGGGAGCTCGACAGGGGGAATGTGTCCCTGTTGGTGCTGCTTGACCTCTCAGCGGCCTTCGATACCGTCGACCATGGTATTCTTCTGGGACGCCTCGCGGGGATGGGTCTTGGAGGTACTGTTCTGCAGTGGCTCCGGTCATTCCTAGAGGGTCGATCTCAGAAGGTGTTGGGGGACACCTGTTCACCCCCACAACCATTGTCTTGTGGGGTTCCTCAGGGCTCAATATTGTTTCCCATATTGTTTAACATCTGCATGAAGCCGCTGGGGGAGATCATCCGGAGTTTCGGGGTACGGTGTCATCTGTACGCGTCTTCCTTCTTCCCTCCTTCTTTCTCTCTCCTTCTTCTTTCTCCTTCCCTTCCCAACTATCCCACTGGTCCTGAACCGGTGCTTGGCCACTGTGACGGTCTGGATGAGGGCGAACAAATTGAAATTGAACCAGACAAGACAGAGGTACTCCTGGTCAGTCGCAAGGCCGAACAGGGCATAGGGTTACAGCCTGTGTTGGATGGGGCCGCACTCCCCCTGAAGACGCAGGTTCGCAGCTTGGGTGTGACCCTGGACTCATCGCTGAGCCTGGAACCCCAGGTTTCGGCGGTAACCAGGGGAGCATTTGCACAGCTAAAGCTTGTGCGCCAGCTGCGCCCGTACCTTGGGAAGTCTGACTTGGCCACGGTAGTCCACGCTCTGGTTACATCCCGTTTAGACTACTGCAACGCTCTCTACGTGGGGTTGCCTTTGAAGACAGCTCGGAAGCTCCAACTAGTCCAACGCTCGGCAGCCATGATTCTAACAGGAGCGGAGTGCAGGGAGCATACAACCCCCCTGTTGCGCCAACTCCACTGGCTACCGATTTGCTACCGGGCTGAATTCAAAGTGCTGGCGTTGGCCTTTAAAGCCCTAAACGGTTCCGGCCCAAGCTACCTATCTGACCGCATCTCTGCCTATGAACCCACCAGGAATTTGAGATCTTCCGGGGAGACCCTGCTCTCGATCCCGCCTGCTTCTCAAGCTCGGCTGGCGGGGACGAGAGATAGGGCCTTCTCGGTGGTGGCTCCTCGGCTGTGGAACGCCCTTCCTACGGACATTAGACTAGCACCATCTCTAATGGTATTCCGCAAAAAGGTGAAGACCTGGATGTTTGTGCAGGCGTTTGAGTAATTTAGTGCAATCTGGTAATGGAACATAGGAATGGAACAATGGACGACGAACCTGGACTACGCTTGGATGATGAGAAGATTGGGTACGGTTGTTTTTTGTAATAATTGTGCATTGTAATTGCTTATTGGTAATTTATGGATAATGTGTTAAGTCAATTGTTATATGTTGTATGGAACCACTGCTGTTTCTACTGTTTTTACTGTTTGTGAACCGCTGTGAGTCGCCTTCGGGCTTGAGATACAGCGGTATATAAGCAAAGTAAATAAATAAATAAATAAAAGTAAAATGAATTGGTCCCATACCCATTGGCTTTTTTTACCGCTGTATGATGTGTGTCAGAATTCATCCACACCGATAACACTAGTGTAGCATTCTCACACAACTGACACAATTTATTAAGCATCTCTTAAGTCACACATTTCAACTCCCATCATTCTTGGCAGCTGGTAAATTGTGGGTGCTGAAGTCCAAAACACCTGGAGGGCTGAAGTTTGTCCATGACTGAGTTAAATCTATTGAGAAATGTGTTTTCAAAGGCTTCACTGAGTTGCTTTGAGCTTTTCTGGCTGTATGACCATGTTCTAGAAGCATTCTCTCCTGAATCAACCTGGACACAGCAGGTTGAGAACACATAAATACTGGACCACTCTAACAACTACCATGTCAGACTATACAGAGAAGTTACTGAAATCCACAAGAAGCATGTGGACAATTTCAACAGAAAGGAGGAAACCATGAAAATGAACACCATCTGGCTACCACTTGTTTTTTTTTAAAAAAACTCTAAAATCAGGATAGTAAAGAGCAACACTAAAAAAAAGGGGAAATCCAGACAGGGAACAATCAGGGCCAGCTAAGACCTCCCAACAAGGGATTCCCCCAGACAGGAATCAGGCAGGCTTTGAAGGTGCAAGGCCATTCAGTGCTAATCAAGGTAGCCAATTGCAACATTTACACTTGCTTCCAGCAGACAAGAGTTCTTTCCCCCACCCTGGACATTTATTTATTTATTTATTTAGTACATTTCTATACCGCCCCTCTCAGCCTTCCGGCGGCTTGAGGCAGTTTACAAGGCAAGAATTCAATGCCACCAAGGACACAATTACAATATCTATATAAATAAAAATGTAATGTTAGTTCATGCTACCATCAGAACTCAAAAACCACTGGGGGAATTGACACCAAATTTGGACACAAGACACCTAACAGTCCAATTTATGTCCTCCACTCAAAAAAATGATTTTGTCATTTGGGAATTGTTGTTGCTGGGATTTATAGTTTACCTACAATCAAAGAGCATTCTGAACTCCACCAATGATGGAATTGAACCAAACATGGCATACAGGACTTCCATGACCAACAGAACACACTGGAAGGGTTTGGTGGGCATTGACCTTGAGTTTGGGAGTTGTAGTTCACCTACATCCAGAGAGCACTGTGGACTCAAACAATGATGGATCTGGACCAAACTTGACACAAAAATTCCATATGCCTAAATATGAACACAGATGGAGTTTGGAGGAAATAGACCTTGACATTTGGGATTTGTAGTTACTGGGATTTATAGTTCACTACAATTAAAGAGCATTCTGAAACTCACAAACGACAGAAATGGGGCAAACTTCCCACACAGAACCCCCATGACCAACAGAAAATACTCAAGGCCATCCAGTCCAACTCTCTTCACCAGGGCAAGAAAATGTAATCAGAGCCCTCCTGACAAAGAGCCATCCAGTCATAAATATAGATAGATAGATATGATTCTCTCTCACACACACACAGATATAGTATCACAGATTTGAAAGAGACCCTTAAAGAAGGACTACGATATGTTGCATATTCCAGAGTAGCCAAACCAGACACTCTCCACATCAACACTGACAAAGAAACAACAAGAAATACTGTTTACTCACAAGCATAAAGGAATTACATATATTAGAAACCAACACTTTCTCATTACTTTATTTTCCAGATCACCAGACTGGGCCACAGCAACGCGAGGCAGGGGACAGCTAGTACAATATAAAAAACATCAGCAACAATAAAATCAAACATAATGAAACATATTTCAATCGATAACCATTAAAACAATGTCCAGTTCCGCCATATAGTTATTCCATTATTATATCCATTACTCCGTATTTTCAAATGCCCGTTCAAATAGCCATGTCTTAAGATTCTTCCGGAATGATAGGAGCGAGGAAGCCGATCTAATCTCCCTAGGAAGGGCGTTCCATAGCCGAGGGGCCACCACTGAGAAGGCCCTGTCTCTTGTTCCCCAACCATACTTGTGATAATGGCGGGACCAAGAGCAGGGCCTCTCCAGATGATCTTAAAGTCCTTGCAGATAGGTATATAAACCCCGCTTGCCTAATTTCCAACAGAGCTCACAACCTCTGAGGATGCCTGCTGTGTGTGTGAAAGGTCAGGAGAGAATGCTTCTGGAACATGGCCATACAGCCCGGAAAACTCACAGAAACCCATCTATTGAGAAACATTGCTAGGTTGTTCTGTTTCTTTCCTTTCCTTGTGGTTCTTCTTTCTGAAACATTTCACTCTCTTCCAGGAGCCACCAAGCGTGGCCATGGACTTCTCAGGTACAGAATCCCCAAAAGATACTGAGAAGAAGGTGCTTTCATGGGAGACTGGGCAGGAACATGATGGAGGTTCTCCCTCAGTGGGTAAGGGCGATCTTTGCCTGTCCTCTTCTTCCAAAAACATGTCCAAAATCCACAAGGTGTGCTCTTGATCTCCTTGAATTTTTTCCAAGGTAGCTATTCTGTCCAGCTTCTCTGAAGATTAATGGACCTTCCAGACAGGTCTTCTATCCCAGGATCCGATCACAGGTTTTCTGTATTGTCGAAGGCTTTCATGGCCAGAATCAACTGGGTTGTTGTAGGGTTTTTTCAGGCTATATGGTCATGTTCTAGAGGCATTCTCTCCTGACGTTTCGCCTGCAGCTATGGCAAGCATCCTCAGAGGTAGTGAGGCCAAGTCAGACTTCCCAAGGAACCTAGAGGTCCACAAACCCATCCAGGGGGTGGAGATTTTTATTTTGGAGTGTGAGCCCATGGATATAGAATCCATGGATAAGGGGGTCATACTGTACATAGATTGAGGAACATTCATTTGAATATTAAAAGGAAAATAACACTAAATCAGGGATGATTTTTAGGAAGGCAAATCAATTATTTATTTACCATACTTGTATCCTGCCTTTCTCAACCCCGAAGGGGACTCAAGGCGGCCTTACAAAGGCAACAATTCACTGCTGCATGTATACATACATTAATAGATACACAAAATATTAAAACCATCTAGTTAAAATATAACATTAAAACAACAATTAACATCACATAGGGTTGTTGTAGGTTTTTTTGGGCTATACGGCCATGGTCTAGAGGCATTCTCTCCTGACGTTTCACCTGCATCTATGGCAAGCATCCTCAGAGGTAGTGAGGTCTGTTGGAACTAGGAAAAAGGGTTTATATATCTGTGGAATGACCAGGGTGGGACAAAGGACTCTTGTCTGCTGGAGCTAGGTGTGAATTTCAACTGACCACCTTGATTAGCATTTGATGGCCTGACAGTGCCTGGAGAACCCATTTTGCTAGTTCCAACAGACCTCACTACCTCTGAGGATGCTTGCCATAGATGCAGGCGAAACGTCAGGAGAGAATGCCTCTAGAACATGGCCATATAGCCCGAAAAAACCCTACAACAACCCAGTGATTCCAGCCATGAAAGCCTTCGACAATACATTCAATCACATAGTCAAGGTCATGTTCCAAGACCAGTCTGGGTTGTCATCAAAATCAATTTACAATCTCTTATTGCCTCGCTCCCATTATTGATCATAAGCCTGATCCCAGAGCCAAGTTTTTAGGGTTTTTTTCTGAAAGCCAGGAGAAAGGGGGGCGATCTAATTTCACTGGAGAGGGAGATCCATAGACGAGGGACCACCACTGAGAAGGCCCTGTCTCTTGTCCCCACCAGTTGTGCTTTCGAGAGGGGTGGGACTGAGAGCAGCGCCTCCCCTGATGATCTTACCTTCTGAGATGGGTCATAGAGGGAGATACGTTTGGCACATTTTCTTTGGCAGAGCAGAAGAAAGAAATGGCAGGGCAGGGCAGGGCGATACAGATATGTGGTTGGCAGAAAGCAATCCAGAGAGATGTCCTTGTTGACTCTATACAAACTGAGGGGATTGAACTTGGCTCCTGTCTGGAGTTGACCAGTGAGAGACTCTGGCCACCTTAGAATCATAGAATCAAAGAGTAGGAAGAGACCTCATGGGCCATCCAGTCCAACCCCCTTCTGCCAAGAAGCAGGAATACTGCATTCAAATCACCCCTGACAGATGGCCATCCAGCCTCTGTTTAAAAGCTTCCAAAGAAGGAGCCTCCACCACACTCCGGGGCAGAGAGTTCCACTGCTGAACAGCTCTCACAGTCAGGAAGTTCTTCCTCATGTTCAGATGGAATCTCCTCTCTTGTAGTTTGACACCATTGTTCTCACCTTCTTTGTCTTTCTCTTAGAAAACAGAAGGACAGTCCCAGACGGTGCTGGGATCCCATCTAGGTCACCTTCGCTTTGTGGAGATATTGAAGCAGTTACTGTGAAATCAGAACAGGTATGGCAAGGATTGTTGGGCATCTTGTATGGAAACACCTTGGGTGCCTCTTTCCCTTTCATAATTCCTTGAGCTGGAAGGAGACTCAACGTTCTCCTCTTCCTTCCTACTAGGAAGACCTTCAACTGCCACTGAGGAAGTTCTGTTTTTGGGGGGAATTCAACATGTTAACATCGAATACTATCTTCGTGTTTCAGAGTCCAGAGACCTTTGAGGAGATGCATTTCGCCGCATCTCACCAAGGAGATCTGGCTACTGTTAATGCCAGGCCAAGTGGATCCAGAGAAGAAAATCCCAGAGGAGAGCTGTGGAGCTGCGGAAACCTGTCCTCTCCAGGTATGGCTTCTTCTCCGGTTTAAAATCAAAGCTGTCTGCTGCTGGATCAGACCAAAGCTCTGTGTAAGGTGTCATCTACACTTGCTGAAATATTCCAGAGTAAACTGCTCCAGAGATGCCCCAGGATACAGAATGGCTACTCTTGGGTGCCTCTTTGGGCTCAAAGCATTAGAGCCCAAGGCAGCTCTCTGACAGAGCCTTGCTGGCAGTGTCACTTTTGGAGAAATCACAACTGGTTTGTGAAGAGGACGTTCTGAGGAAGCTCTGATGTAGGTTGTAGTTATTTTTGTGCTAGATTATCAAAGCTGATCATTCATAGTGGAAGAAAAAAGAAGAGGAGGAGGAGGGGGGAGGAGAAATATAAAAATTAACTATGTATTTTTAAATTTAAAAAATGTAAGTCAAGCACTGAAAGAGTTAAATGGGTACAATGACTCAGAAAAGGCTGCAGTTTGATATAAACAAGTGTGCCTGTAGCTTCGTAGCTCTCTGTGAGAGGTTTCTGTGGGACAAGCCTCAGTGTGTTAGTTGGCCTCAGTGTGTTAGTAGGCCTCAGTATGAGAAGGCCTCAGTGTTAGTTCACCTCAAAGGGAGAAAGGCTTCAGTGTTAGTAGGCCTCAGTATGAGTAAGCCTGGTGAGAGAAGCTCCAGGTTGTGTGTGTGAAAGGGTGCTGTATATAAAGCTACTGTAAGACACTTCTGTGTAACTTCACTATGAGAAGAGGCTCTATGAGAGTGATATATATTAAGGCCTGGGTAACAACGGAAAAATTTGTTTCTAAAATCGATTCGTTTTTTGGGGTTTTTTGCGTTTCGATATTTAAAAGAATTCCGAAATTTTCCTTAAAAAAAAGTTCGATATTTACGAAATTTCGTAAATGGTAAAAAAATTACAAAACAATAACGAAACAATAACGAATCGATTCGTTAATGGCGGCCGCGATCGCGCAATACGCTAAAAAAACTTCTGAAGCTTCCCTCTCCCTCTGTTGTTGACTGTTGGTGTGATATTATAATTTTTTTTCACTAATTAAACAAAAAACAACTATAAAACTTGCCCCAGACATGCGGAAATAATAACGAAACGACCTCAAACCAATAACGAAACGAATACATAACGAAATACGAAGCATTTATGAAACGAATTGAAATATTCGTTTCGTTTTTAAGTTGCTCCAGAATGGTTCGTTATCGCTTCGTTAACAAAAAAACGAATTTTTAACGAATTACGAATTAACGAAATGAAACCGCCCAGCCCTACTGTTTATCAGCATGAGAAAGAAGCCCAGCGTGGAAGCAAAGAAGGAAGACTTTGTTCATGTTGTGGAAACCTTGTTTTTGTAAATATTGCAACAATATTATTTTGCCATAAATTTTACAGCTTTTATATTCCGTCCTTCTCACCCCGCAGGGGACTCAGGGCGGATTACAGTGTACACATATATGGCAAACATTCAATGCCAATTTTTGACATACAAACATATACAGACATACACAGAGACTATTTAACTTTTTCTGGCCGCCAGGGGAGCTGTCGCTTTCATCGTCCATCTGCGACGCTGATGAAGCACTTCCGCATTCCCCGCATGCTTCCCCGCTGGAATGCTTTGCTGGAGTCTTCTTTATGGCATCATAAATCAGTTAATTTAGCCTCCCCACACTTTAAGGTGGTACCTAATTTTCCTACTTGACAGATGCAACTGTCTTTCGGGTTGCAAAGGTCGACAACAGGCTACACACAATTGGTTGGAAACCCACTCCAATCCGGACTGGCTTCGAACTCATGACCCTTTGGTCAGAGTGATCTTAATGCAGCTGACACTCAGCCAGCTGCGCCACAATCCCGGTGCCTCCTAAAGAAAAGCCTCCTAACATTGTTCTGTGTGTTTTTGTTCTTTTTATCATTTTGTGGCTTACTGGTGCTGCTAATAAGTTATGCATTTATGGAGAAGGCCTTTTGTTAATAAGCCCCCTCACCCAACAATAATAATGCTATTTGTTACCTGCCTTTCTTCATGGCTTAGACCGTATATTGTGTGAACAGCTATGCACACTACGCATATCTTGCTTGTAGTGCAAATACAATTTCAGGTTTCTGAAAAAGAGAGAGTTATTTTGTACATCTATTTAGAGTTACCAGGGATTTCAACCTTCCAAATAAGGGAGACTTAACCATACAGCTGTTTAGAGTTGCCAGGGATTGAACCTGTGGATTTTTTGCATGCAAAGAAGCTAAAGTTCAGTGACCACCTTCTTGTCTGTTTTATTCATATATATATTTATATAGTTTATTTATTTATTTACAGCTTTTATATTCCGCCCTTCTCACCCCGCAGGGGACTCAGGGCGGATTACAGTGTACACGTAGAATAACTCTCTCTTTTTCAGAAACCTGAAATTGTATTTGCACTACAAACAAGATATGTGTAGTGTGCATAGCTGTTCACACAATGTACAGTGTACAGTGTGCACAGAAAGATTGATTGTTTAGGTCTGTTCTTTGGATCCTTTCTTCACTAACCAATTTTGTAAAAACTTATTTCAGGTGTGGAGAGTGAAAACGATAGAGAAGCGGAGCATCAGAAAATCAAAACTGAAGAAGAAAACATTGCTCTGGAGGGCATCGATTTCCATGAAATTATAGTGCCAGGGGAAATTTGTGACGGGAACAACAAGAATGTTCGAGATGGAGAAAAACTGTTGATATGTTCTGACTGTGGAGAGAGCTTCACTCAGGACATATTCCTAACCGAACATCGAAAAATTCACCCTCAGGAGAAAATGCGTACTTTCTTGGAGTGTGGAAACCAGTTTAGCTACAGCCCGGTCCTCACCTTGCCTCCGCGATTCGGTGCCGTCAGAAAGCCCTTTGGATGCTCTGACTGCGGAAAACATTTCAGCGAAAGCCAAGGCCTTAAGAGACATCAAAGGATTCACATGGAGGAGAAGCCCTTTAAGTGCCCGGAGTGTGGGAAAGGCTTCATTCGCGGCCCAGGAAACTCAAGGCCCACCAGAGAGTCCACACTGGGGAGAAGCCCTACAAATGCTCCGTGTGCGGAAAGATGTTCACCCAGAGCTCCAACCTGAGTAAACATCAAAGAATTCACACAGGGGAGAAGCCTTATTCGTGTCCCGAATGTGGCAAGAGTTTCAACCATAGCACACACCTCAAAAGGCACCAACGGATTCACACGGGGGCAAAGCTGTTCCAATGCTTGGAAGTCCGGCAAGAGCTCCAGTCAAAGGATAATCCTTAAACTACGTAAAAGAAATTTACAGAAGGGAGAAGACCAATAAATGCCCAGAGCATGGGAAGAGCTTCGGCAGTTGCAGAATTTGGAAATGGTCAAAACGAGCCCAGGCTTGCCAGGGACATTAAAAACAATAAAAAGGGATTCTTTTCTTATGTCAGTAGAAAAAGGAAAAACAAGGAGGCGATAGGGCCTCTTCGAGGAGAAGATGGGGCAATGCTGACAGGGGATAGGGAAAAGGCAGAACTACTTAATACCTTCTTTGCCTCGGTCTTCTCACAAAAAGAAAGTCATCTTCAACCTCAGCAAGACGGAGTGGATGAGGGATTTGAGGACATCCAACTCCAAATTGGGAAACAAGTCGTACAGGAATACCTGGCCGCTCTAAATGAGTTCAAGTCCCCAGGGCCAGATCAACTACACCCAAGAGTATTGAAGGAACTAGCGGAAGTCATTTCGGAACCATTGGCAACCATCTTTGAGAGTTCTTGGAGAACGGGAGAAGTTCCAGCAGATTGGAGGAGGGCCAATGTGGTCCCAATCTTCAAGAAGGGAAAAAAGGATGACCCAAACAACTACCGTCCGGTCAGCCTCACGTCGATACCAGGAAAGATTCTGGAAAAGATTGTTAAGGAAGTGGTCTGCAAACACTTAGAAACAAATGCGGTCATCGCTAATAGTCAACATGGATTTATCAAAAACAAGTCATGCCAGACTAATCTGATCTCTTTTTTTCGATAGAGTTACAAGCTGGGTAGATGCGGGGAATGCCGTGGATGTAGCGTACCTGGATTTCAGTAAGGCCTTCGACAAGGTCCCCCATGACCTTCTGGCAAGGAAACTAGTCCAATGTGGGCTAGGCAAAACTACGGTGAGGTGGATCTGTAATTGGTTAAATGGACGAACCCAGAGGGTGCTCACCAATGCTTCCTCTTCATCCTGGAAAGAAGTGACGAGCGGAGTGCCGCAGGGTTCCGTCCTGGGCCCGGTCCTGTTCAACATCTTTATTAATGACTTAGATGAAGGGCTAGAAGGCATGATCATCAAGTTTGCAGCCGACACCAAATTGGGAGGGATAGCCAATACTCCAGAGGACAGGAGCAGAATTCAAAACGATCTTGACAGATTAGAGAGATGGGCCAAAACTAACAAAATGAAGTTCAACAGTGACAAATGCAAGATACTCCACTTTGGCAGAAAAAATGAAATGCAAAGATACAGAATGGGGACGCTGGCTCGAGAGCAGTACGTGTGAAAAAGATCTTGGAGTCCTCGTGGACAACAAGTTAAACATGAGCCAACAATGTGATGTGGCGGCAAAAAAAGCCAATGGGATTTTGGCCTGCATCAATAGGAGCATAGTGTCTAGATCTAAGGAAGTAGTGCTACCCCTCTATTCTGCTTTGGTTAGACCACACCTGGAATATTGTGTCCAATTCTGGGCACCACAATTCAAGAGAGATATTGACAAGCTGGAATGTGTCCAGAGGAGGGCGACTAAAATGATAAAAGGTCTGGAGAACAAGCCCTATGAGGAGCGGCTTAAGGAGCTGGGCATGTTTAGCCTGAAGAAGAGAAGGCTGAGAGGAGATATGATAGCCATGTATAAATATGTGAGAGGAAGCCACAGGGAAGGAGGGAGCAAGCTTGTTTTCTGCTTCCCTGGAGACTAGGACGCAGAACAATGGCTTCAAACTACAAGAAAGGAGATTCCATCTGAACATGAGGAAGAACTTCCTGACTGTGAGAGCCGTTCAGCAGTGGAACTCTCTGCCCCGGAGTGTGGTGGAGGCTCCTTCTTTGGAAGCTTTTAAGCAGAGGCTGGATGGCCATTTGTCAGGGGTGATTTGAATGCAATATTCCTGCTTCTTGGCAGGGGGTTGGACTGGATGGCCCGTGAGGTCTCTTCCAACTCTTTGATTCTATGATTCTTTGGCATCACTGGGTTGTTGTAGGTTTTTTTGGGCTATATGGCCATGTTCTAGAGGCATTCTCCTGACGTTTCACCTGCATCTATGGCAAGCATCCTCAGAGGTTGTGAGGTCAAGAATTCGCAAAGTTCATCAAAGGATTCACATGGGGAGAAGCCATATAAGTGTTTAGAATATGAGAATATCAGAGCCTACACACGAACAGACATCTAGGGAGAAGTCCTAGAAATGCTCCCAGTGTGGAAAGAACTTAAGACAGAGCACACACGTCACACCGGCAAAAGAGCATACAGTGTGGAAGGAGTTTCCATCAGAGCGGGCGCCTTGGTTCACATCAAAGAAGGCACAAGAAAGAGAAATCGCGTGACATTTTATCAGTGACTGGAATGTGGACACATTAAAGTCTTATGTTGAAAACAAATCCTTCATTGCAAAACCCTTGTGAAAGTATGTGAATAATGAGGGTCTGTCATAGAATCTTAGAATTGGAAGAGGTTCCCAAGGGCAATCCAGTCCAACCCCCTGCTATAATAATAATAATAATTTTTATTATTATTATTATTTATTTATTATGTATTTATTTATTTATCGTGTCAGGAGCAACCAGACAGTTGTATTACATTTTTAACAAAGCAAACAGATAAAACACAAAGTTTGCAAGCTTGGTAGTTTAAATGTCCTTTGATAATAATAGGCACTGACAAGCAAATTGAAATTGAATCCAGACAAGACAGAGGTCCTACTGGTCAGTCGTAAGGCCGAACAGGGTATAGGGTTACAGCCTATGTTAGACAGGGTTACACTCCCCCTGAAGACGCAGGTTCGCAACTTGGGAGTGATCCTGGACTCATTGCTGAGCCTGGAATCCCAGGTCTCGGCGGTCGCCGGGAGAGCTTTTGCACAATTAAAACTTGTGCACCAGCTGTGCCTGTACCTTGGGAAGTCGGATCTGGCCACGGTGGTCCACGCTCTTGTTACATCCCAATTAGATTACTGCAACGCACTCTACATGGGGTTGCCTTTGAAGACTGCTCGGAAACTCCAACTAGTCCAGCGGGAGGCAGCCAGACTGCTCACCGGGGCGTCATACAGGGAGCACACCACCCCCCTGTTGTGTCAGCTCCACTGGCTGCCGATCCAGTTCCGAGCACAATTCAAAGTGCTGGTTTTGACCTACAAAACCCTACACGGTTCCGGCCCAGCGTATCTGTCCGAACGGATCTCCCTTTACGTCCCAACCCGGAGTCTAAGATCTTCCGGGGAGGCTCTGCTCCCGACCCCGCCTTTATCACAAGTGAGGTTGGTGGGGACGAGGAGCAGGGCCTTCTCAGTGGTGGCCCCCCGCCTGTGGAATTCACTCCCCGGGGAAATTAGATCTGCAACATCGCTCCTTTCCTTTAGGAAAAAACTGAAAACATGGATTTGGGACCAGGCATTCGGACAATCGGGCAGATAAAGAAAGAACTTTGACGATGATTAGGAAATGATTAATGGATTAGAACTATGGGACTCTGAAAGATGAAACGCTGAGCACGAGAATAGTTCTATATGATGTGTTATGTACTGGTTGTTTGATTGTTTTAACTGTGATAATTGCTTTTAACTATGGTTTTGTATATTATATATAATTTGTATAGGCATCAAATTGTGCCTTTTTTGTAAGCCGCCCTGAGTCCTCCCTTGGGGGTTGAGAAGGGCAGGGTAAAAGTACCCGAAATAAATAGATGGATGGATGGATGGATGGATGGATGGATGGCCCTTTCCTTAAGCAATTGAGAGGGGAAAGGAAAGGGCCTGAGGCTGTTAGGAATTGTGGGAGTTGAAGTCCAAAACACCGGGAGGGCCCAAGTTTGCCCAACCCTGGTGTGGATGCTCTCATAGTTTAAGGCCTTAGCATGTCTTAATCCAGCCCTGTTCTCAAGTACTGCACTGTACAATCATTACAGAAATATGTGTCACTCTGTTGCTGTAACAGACAAAGTTTGCCAACTTGTGGCAGGCGATGAGACTTTGTTGTTGACGGGGTTTCCCTTGCAAACATGTTTTCCTCCAGTGAAGCAGAGAGACCAGGAGGTTTGCAGAAGTGACATAGCTTGGTCGTATAATTATGAAAGCTGTGCTTGAATTATTGCTGTCATTCTCTGAAGCACCAGAGATTTCCCTAGAGGGGCATCCATGAGAAGAAAAGGAAATAAACAGCCATCCTTCTGCGCCACCGAGGGTTTGACCTGGGATTTTGGACCTGTGGGAAATGGTGGAAAGTTTTACTGTTGTTTTAATTCTGAAGTATAATTTCAGCCAGCCCTTCTGTGGCCCAGCTGCTAACTTATTCCAACTCATGCTGTGGCATTGTGAAAATCAGAACTTGGGAAAAGTTCCTTTTTTTGCATTTTGTAGCTCTGCAAGTAAACCACATCTGCCTATATCTGGGTGTTATGGTGTGATGTTGTGGTGAGTGGCTTTGAGTATCCTTGTGGAGAGAAAAGCCAGGGATAAATAAACATAATAATAATTGTTATTGTTATTTCAATCTATATAAATAAAAATGTAATGTTCGTTTGTGAGATTAACATAACTCAAAAACCACTGGATGAATTGACACCAAATTTGGACACAAGACACCTAACAACCCAATGTATGTTCTTCACTCAAAAACATTGATTTTGTCATTTGGGAGTTGTAGTTGCTGGGATTTATAGTTCAACTACAATCAAAGAGCATTCTGAACCCCACCAATGATGGAATTGAACCAAACTTGGCACACAGTTCTCCCATGACTAACAGAAAATACTGGAATGGTTTGGTGGGCAATGTCCTTTGGTTTTGGAGTTGTAGTTCACCTACATCCAAATATCTTTGTGGACTCAAACAATGATGGATCTGGACCAAACTCTACACAAATACT